CTTCCTCCTTGGCCTCCCAGAGCGCTAAGATTACAGGCGTGAGCCATCTCGCCTGTCCTATTAAAGTATATTTTTTGATGAGACACAGAAGAGGTCTGTCCTCACAAGTCAGAATTTAATAGAGTAAGCAGGAAAATAAATGATGATGTATAACAGATATGTTTAGCCTCAGAGTTGTCAGTATACTAGAAAGTTTGCTAAATAAATTTCCCATTAGAGAACTTGGACAGTCTTGTCTTAACTTGTTTAAAGCCAGGAACAGTATATTTTGGCTTTAGTTGTCTCCTGCAAAGTTTCTCAAAGTATGACCCTCAAGTATATTTCTTCTCTTCTAAAATTGTTTTTCTGCTGGCATCTGCAACAATTGGTATGAAGTGCTACAGAGTTCATGTAGCACCAGGCTACTTTGCTGATGAACACTGTGCCCAGGGTGCCTGCTATAAGTGAAATTAATTAGACTTGTGCTATCCTAGTCAATTTCCCTCCCAGCAGGTTGTGTGGTTAGAGCTCCTCAGAGTCTGAGACTGAGTCTCCAGTTCTACTAGCTGCGGGATTGGACATTTTAAAAAATTGGAAGAAAGGTGGTATTATAAAAAAAAAAAAAGAAAGAAAGATTTGGCTACAAAATAAGTCAGAAGCAAAAAAGATGGGAAAAAAATGGCCAAGACCAAAATTTTATTTTCTTTCTAGTGTAATAATAGACCAAGCTTCAGTAGCAATAATTAGGGCATTAAAATAAACTAGTTTTTAAAAATTGGCCTTTCCTAAGTCTTAGAGAATTTGTAAATTGTTAATTGTTGGATAAATTTAAAGTATTTTTTAAGCAACTTCAGAATAAGCTCAAATTAATATTTTATGATCACTCAGTGTAGAGCTTTGCCTGCAACTTACATCTCCAGAGCCAATTTTTTTGTTCTTAACTAATGTATAGAATGCACATATTCATTGCCACCCTGCCCCAAAGTAGGAATGTTGAAATTTCATTCTGGCCATTAATGATAACTAGAATTTATAAAACTGGCTAAGTTGTATTTACTGGTTATTGGACAAATCAACAGTTCTGTCAGAATGTGTTTTCCATCAAATGCAAGCCTATCTTAAAGGTAACTATAGTAGTATTTGGTCTCCTTTCTTGATGTTATGAAATCATGAATTGCAGGATCCAGAGAGGTCCAAATGCCATTTGCAGTGCTTAAGTTTTCCTACCTTAAGTGAGACAGCATAATATGTGTATAAGACTATTAACTTTATGTGTGATTACATGGGCTGCTTTCATTGTAAATGCCTGTAGGGCAGTGTTTATGACCAATGGAAACAAAATTTAATTCCAATTATTAATATATTACTCTGTGAAGGTACAACTATATCTTATTGACCCCCCTCATATTTATTAAGTAGTCAGTGAATGTTTATGAATTGAACTACTATGCAATGTTTTTATTATTCTTGTTATTCATTTATATCAATTTGTATAAATAATGTACTGCACATGTTATTACAAAATTTGCCTTTTATTAGCACTGTGTTTGATGCCCATGGTGCTGAAGACCTAGTTCATTAATTTTAAGTCCTAAAATATAGTTTTCCAATATATAGAAATAAAACAATTTAGGTATCTATTCCTCTGCTAATGGATTTATATTAATAGTTTGTTTCTAGCTTTTCATTGTAATAGCAACGCCACATTGAAAATCCTTGTCTGTGTCTTCTTGTGCCCATGTATATAGTTTCTCTAGGGCAATGCTTCACAAAATGTGGTCAGGGGAACTTGTTAGAAATGTAAATTATTGGGCCCATCCCAAACCTCTGAATCAGAAACTCTGAGGGTAGGGCTAGCAATTTGTTTTAAATGGTGATTTTGATGTGCTCTAAACTTGAGAACCACTACTCTAATGCATACATTAATACAGTTAAAAGTGGAATTACTAGGGTATGTGTATTTTGAACTTTGCTAGATATAGTCAAATTCCTATCCAAAATATACGTATTAATTTATTGTCTCACCAGCAGTGTATGAGAGTTTCCATTTCCCCATACATGGCATGGTTGGTATTTTTTTTTTCTTGCTGGTCTGCTAGGTATAAAATGTTTAAGAGCTATTTTATTTCTTTTTTTGTGAGCAGTATTTTTTATAGGATAGTTGACCCTTTTCTTTTTTTTCTTTTTTTTTTTTTTGAGACAGAGTCTCACTTTGTTGCCCAGGCTAGAGTGAGTGCCGTGGCATCAGCCTGGCTCACAGCAACCTCAATCTCCGGGGCTCAGCGACCCTACTGCCTCAGCCTCCCGAGTGGCTGGGACTATAGGCATGCGCCACCATGCCCAGCTAATTTTTTTTGTATATATATTTTTAGTTGGTCAATTAATTTATTTCTATTTTTGGTAGAAATGGGGTCTCGCTCAGGCTGGTTTCAAACTCCTGACCTTGAGCAATCCGCCCGCCTCGGCCTCCCAAAGTGCTAGGATTACAGGCGTGAGCCACCACGCCCGGCTCCTTTTCTTGTTTGTAGAAACACTTTATATATCAACTTTTCTTTTTTCTTGAGACAAGGTCTCTTTCTGTTGCCCAGGCCAGAGTGCAGTGATGTCAGCATAGCTCATTGCAACCTCAAACTCCTAGACTCATGCAATCCTCCCACCTCTTAGCCTTCCAAGTAGCTGGAACTATAGGCATGTGCCACCACACCCAGCTAATTTTTTAAATATTTTATCGAGATGGGGTCTCGCTATGTTGCTCAGGCTGGTCTCGAACTCCTGGCCTCATGCAGTTCTTCCACCTTAGCCTCTCAGAGTGCTAGGATCATAGGGGTGAGCCACCACACCCAGCCTAAGTTATTGTATATTAATAAAAGTGTCCCTTTGTCATGCATTGCAAGCTTTTCTTTTTCTAGTTTGTCTTTTGGCTTTGGTGCTTTAAAATTGTGACCAAATTCACCAGTTTAAAAAATTGTATATATTTAAGGTATACAACATAATGTTTTGATGTGCATATACATAGTGAAACTAGTATAGTCAAAACAATTAGCATATCCATCATCTCATAGTTACCTTTTATGTGGGGGGGAAGGTAAAAGCATCTAAAAACTACTTGTTTAGCAGATTTCCAGTATATAATACACTATTGCTAACTAATCCTGAATGTTGTATGTTAGATCTCTAGACTTACTCATCCTACATATCTACAACTTTGTATGATTTGACCTACATGTCTCCATTCCCACCTCCCGCCCCCAAAATCACTAATTTTTTTGAATGGCTTTTGTGTTTAGAAAGTCTTTGAGGGGAGAATTTTGAGTTTCATTTGATATGCTACTGGGATATCCCATTGAGATGTATAGTAGTTACTTGAAAATGGTCTAGGCTTAGGAGAAAGGTGAGAGTTGTAGAGATTTGGGAAACATTTGTATAAAGGCAGAATTTGATATTATTGGGATGGGTAAAATTGCCATTAAGAGAAGGTAGATTGAGAAAATAATTGAGGATTAAATCATCAGAAGCAGCAGTGGAGGAAGAGAATCTAGTAAAAGTGATTGCAGAATCATCACGAAACAGCAAGGAGAAGAATCTGGAAAATCAGGTGATGACAGTGTAAGCAGGGAGAGATCTCTAATATTGTAGAGAAAGGTATAAAAATGTTGCCTTTCAAGAGAGAAGTTAGCAATGGGTTGAGGAATAGAAGATTATTTAAGTTTGCAGTGAAGTGTAGGAGAAGATGAGGCAAAGTTAGAGAGATAACAAGGGTCATTTTGCTTTGGGAGTCGAATATTTGTGCCCAAAGAGAAGGAGCCCATGATAAGGTTATGTCTAGTGTTAATTACGCTGTCTCATTTTCAGGCAGCTTTTTCATAAATGTACTTGTGCACCCTTTGAGTAAATTCATTTGGTAAGGTAATACTGAGTATTGTGCAGAGGATTAAAACAGGGTGATATACTTGTGACTAGGAGATTACATTAGGTGGACTTCTCTAAGGTTAACATTTATTTATGTATGTATGTATTTTTTTTTAATTTATTTTTGAGTCAGAGTCCCACTCTGTTGCCCAGACTAGAGTGCCATGGTGTCAGCCTAGCTCATAGCAACCTCAAATTCCTGGGCTCACGCGATCCTCCTGCCTCAGCCTCCCAAGTAACTGGGACTACAGGCATGTGCCACCATGCCCAGCTAATTTTTTGTATATATATTTTTAGCTGGTCAATTAATTTCCTTATATTTTTAGAGACAAGGTCTCGCTCTTGCTCAGGCTGGTTTCAAACTCCTGACCTTGAGTGATCCTCCCACCTCGGCCTCCCAGAGTGCTAGGATTAAAGACGTGAGCCACTGCACCCGGCATATTGATTGATTGATTGATTTTTTTTTTTTTTTTTTGAGACAGAGTCTCGCTTTCTTGCCTAGGCTAGAGTGAGTGCCGTGGCGTCAGCCTAGCTCACAGCAACCTCAAACTCCTGGGCTCAAGCGATCTCTGCCTCAGCCTCCTGAGTAGCTGGGACTACAGGCACGAGCCACCATACCCGGCTGTTTTATATTATATATATTAGTTGGCCAATTATTTCTTTCTATTTTTATGGTAGAGACGGGGTCTCGCTCAGGCTGTTTGAACTCCTGACCTTGAGCAATCGCCCGCCTCGGCCTCCAGAGTGCTAGGATTACAGGCGTGAGCCACCCGCGCGCTTGATTATTTTTAAGAGTCCTCCAGTTTCCTGCTGTAGAGCTGCATCAGCCTAGCTCACAGCAACCTCAAACTCCTGGGCTAAAGCAATCTTTCTGCCTCAGCTTCCCAAGTAGCTGGGACTATAGGCATGTGCCACCGTGCCCGGCTAATTTTTTCTATATATATTTTTAGTTGCCCAGCTAATTTCTAGTTTTAGTAGAGATGGGGTTGGGGACCATAGGGTAGAGCATTCCAAGCAGGAGACAAAGTTTCCAGTCTCTAGAATGTCAAACCAATAGTAGGGTAGTGTACCAATAATCTAATAAAGTCTTTTTGCTTCTTGGATCTGAACAGGGTGAAGAGAGAACAGAAGTCTTTGTCCCCAGCTTTGGAAATCTTGTTTAACCTTCAAACTGGCGATGTCAAGGGTTCCAAGTCCTCCACCTCCGGCAGAAATGTCGAGTGGCCCCGTAGCTGAGAGCTGGTGCTACACACAGGTAAGTTCATGTTTTCACCCTGAGAATCTTCCATCTGAGGAGGATTTGGTGGACAAAAGGAATAAGATTGCTTTTCTACATTGGATCCTGCTTTCTCTGGGGCATAACTGCCAGATAGCAAGCTAGATACTTGTCAGCTTTCGATTTCTTGGTTTTCCACATGGAATCTGAATCCATTAGGCTAGTGTTTTTCACTGGAAGTTCAAAGGGGGAATCTTTGAAACTTATCCTTACATTCCTCTTGAAGGAATTGTGTTCTGTGGTTCTTCTGTTGGGGAAGCCAGGTTTGAGATTTGCAACCCCAGGCAGTGGCATCAACAGACTAATATTAGGTATGGTTTTATCATATGCTTTCCCAACCTTGTCCATGGTGGGGTTGTTTTTTTTCCTGTCCATGTTTTTCTTACCTTCCATTCAGTGTTTCTCAGAACTCCCCCCCCCAAAAAAAAAAGTTACAAAAGCAATTTGATCAGGGTGAGATTTCTTAAAATGTGGGCGAGGGATCTAAGGTGAGAAAAGCTGAAAACAATGCTATGGTCCTGTGGGGATTATGCAGAGGGAGGGAGGGGAAATGATTTTCTGATCTTCAGCCTGCTTTTTCAGCTTGTCCACTTCTTATTTAATTGCTTCCTGGTTTTCTGTCAACAGATCAAGGTAGTGAAATTCTCCTACATGTGGACCATCAATAACTTTAGCTTTTGCCGGGAGGAAATGGGTGAAGTCATTAAAAGTTCAACCTTTTCATCAGGAGCCAATGATAAACTGAAATGGTGAGGAAGAAGACATCTAGCTGTAAAAATCTTTCCAAAAGTTTTGCTTGGTTTTGCTTGGTTTTATGGGACACTGACTAGAATGTATAAGTTCCTTAAAGGCAGGAACTTTGTTTTATTCTTACTGTATTCCCTAGTGCCTAGCACAGTGCATGGCACTTAATAAGTGCTCACTGAATATTTGTTGAATTAATTCAATGAGTATGTCAGGGATCAACAAACTCAAGCAATAGGGTAATATAAATGAGTAAAGAGAGCCAGGGTTATAAATGATATTCATACATGGTATGAGTGGTGACTACTTGGCAAACTAGTGAGTGTCCTTCTAAAACCAGTGATGGCTACTCAGCTCCAGCTAACTATAGCTATGTGTGAATGAGGGCTGACCATTGCTAGATATTTAGATTTTTCAAGAAAAACAAAAAACCTAGATTTTAACAAAAAATATCTTGATTTTTAAATTGCTTGCTTTTAAACAATAAAGAAGATTCATTTCCTATGCAACTTGACTAACCAGGATGTGAGATGGGTTTGAAGGTAGTTTGATCCAGGAGGGCCAGTGGTTAGATATATCTCTCTCTGCTCTGCCCCACTGTCCACACTCTTGGACATCTCAAGTCTAGCTTCCCTTGTACTTGAAGGATGACTGGCAGTAGCAATGGCCATAACCTACCTCATGCCAACAGAAGTCATTGAGCTTTCTCTGAACTAAGTGTGTGGTCAAGAATATGTTATGCATGTACTGATTGGTTTATGTTTGCATTCCCTGATCTATTCCTTGTGGCAAGGGAACCGTGATCTGGGAAGGGGGATCAGTCCTATCCAAACCTGTGTTGTCTTGAGGAGGAGCAGTGGGCAGTTAAGGATACAATAATATCCCCTCCAAAACACATGTTTCTGAACCATCGGTTTTGACCTCTGATAGCCCACTGAAGAGTTGTTCGTTCATTTAGTATTTGTCAGCTATGTACATTATGCATTGTATTGTTATGTTTTGAGAAAAATGTTTATTCTTAGCCTTTGTATTTAAATCCACATCATTAGCACAGTGTATAATAATGTATGTGGCATATACATTCGTAGAGAGGCACTGGATTGGGCCACCTGTTTGAGAGAGGTGCCATAATACTGGCAAGGCCTAAGGATGCATATGGCCTGTGGATTACATGTGTGGTAGAAGTAGTGGCTGAACCACGTCCCACATACAGTTCAACCAATGACATCTGCAACTCACTTGAACCTATTAAATATTTCTGAATTTTGTTTTGATTCATCTGTAACAGATTGGCATCTCTAACTATTTAGAAGTCTAGCTTGGAACTCTACCCTATGTAATGACAGACTTTTATCTGTGCTTCCTCTGTACTGCCTCCTTTATTTTAATCTTAGAATATTATTGCTAGATTGATAAACTACCTGTAAAAGATATTAGTTACATATTTTTCTAAAATACTTCTTTTTTCCCTAAGGTGATATTAAAGGGCTTATTGACATTTTTTTCCATGGTGGTTTTTTTTTTTTTTTTTTTGAGACAGAGTCTAGTTTTGTTGCCCAGGCTAGAGTGAGTGCCGTGGCATCAGCCTAGCTCACAAACCTCAAACTCCTGGGCTTTTAAGCAATCCTCCTGCCTCAGCCTTCCGAGTAGCTGGGACTACAGGCATGCACCACCATGCCCGGCTAATTTTTTCTATAAATATTAGTTGGCCAATTAATTTCTTTCTATTTATAGTAGAGACGGGGTCTCACTCTTGCTCAGGCTGGTTTCGAACGCCTGACCTCAAGCAATCCACCCGCCTCGGCCTCCCAGAGTGCTAGGATTATAGGCGTGAGCCACCGCGCCCCCAGCCCCATGATGTTTATAGTCCCACACAAATTAAGGGCTTCATTTTCCTGAGATTGAGGATTGGAATAGAGCAAGACCAGGCTGAATTTTAAAATATTTTAGGGAGAAAAGAAGTGAAAGATTTGGGAGATTATGAGGAAAAAGAGAAGTAAGGGATATGTTGTCAGATTCCAGAATGCCCCTTTGTTATTGTTTACTTTTAAAAAGGTGACCCAGGTTGCTCTAGAAACATGATTCCCAAGCAGTCATTCTACTGAATCATAATCTTCTGGTATGGGACCTGGACTTCCTTTTTTTAAACATCTCCCTCTCTTGATTCTGATGTTCTAGTTCCATCCTGTCACTTCATGAGTCTTTTTTTTTTTTTTTTAATTGAGACAGAGTCTTGCTCTGTTGCCCGGGCTAGAGTGCCATGGTGTCAGCCCAGCTCACAGCAACCTCAGACTCCTGGGCTCAAGCAACCCTTCTGCCTCAGCCTCCCAAGTAGCCAGGACTACAGGCATGTGCCACCATGCCTAGCTAATTTTTTCTATATAGATTTTTAGTTGTCCTGCTAATTTCTTTCTATTTTTTTTTTTTTTTTTTTTAGTAGAGACAGTGGTCTCACTCTTGCCCAGGCTGGTCTTGAACTCCTGACCTTGAGTAATCCTCCCGCCTCGGCCTCCCAGAGTGCTAGGATTAAAGGCGTGAGCTACCTTGCCCGGCCACTTTATGAGTCTTTGAACATGGATGCTTTCAATGCTTTTTTTCCATTTTCTGTTTTGGGCAGGTGTTTGCGAGTAAACCCAAAAGGGCTAGATGAAGAAAGCAAAGATTACCTGTCACTTTACCTGTTACTGGTCAGCTGTCCAAAGAGTGAAGTTCGGGCAAAATTCAAATTCTCCATCCTGAATGCCAAGGGAGAAGAAACCAAAGCTATGGGTAAATGTTTTTCCTTTTTCTTTGATTTATAACTTTCATGTGTGGCAACTTCAAACTTCACACACTGACAAGTTGTGGATTTGATGTGGTTTTGAGTAATCCTAAATATGATTTTTTTTCCCCACCTCAGAGAGTCAACGGGCATATAGGTTTGTGCAAGGCAAAGACTGGGGATTCAAAAAATTCATCCGTAGAGATTTTCTCTTGGATGAGGCCAACGGGCTTCTCCCTGATGACAAGCTTACCCTCTTCTGTGAGGTGAGTCCTTTTACCCCCCCACTGTGAGACTAGCAATTCCCAGGCCTGATAGGTATTGGTAGACTTGATATATTGTGTCAGGGATGTAGAATGAAAACAGTCCCCAAATGGAGTGGTGCTGTGCAAACGTTATTATGTGACTGAACTACCTCATGATTTGAGGGTTGTTGGGCATCTCAGCTTTCCACTTGTTACTGTTCTTAAAAACAAAGATTATGTGCTATCTTGGTATGTGTCAGTTTTAAGTTGCTTGGGTCAGGATTCTGGCTTTTTCACTGTGGGTTTTTTTTAGATAGCATTTGGAAGGAATTGGTCACTTCAAGCTGAGGTGAATGGCTGGAACTAAATATGCATATCTGTCCTTTAAACTTTCTGGCTCCTCCTTGAGTGTGAGGTCCATGTGTGTTTAACTGTGGATCACTTTCCTCTTCTGCTCTTTGTACTAGATGACTCTTAGCAGGAGTTGAGTGCCTGTGGTTTGTATTGCTAAAGTCATGAAATAGGAAGGTGAGAACCATTTTCTCTGAGGTGAAGGCTAGGAAAGCTCTCTAGCTCAGAGTTTGCTAGGAGAGTTAGCTATAGTCAGCTAAGAGAATCCTCTCACCAGCAACCTAAGGGCCTGTCCCAGGTTTACAGGAGAAGCCTTGAAGTAAAATTCCCAAACTAAGAGTGAGTTGGAAAGTGGTTTCTTTAATGAATATACTAATTAGTCATTTCTTGCTATTATGAATACATTTATAAATACTCACAAGCTCACAGTGTAATAAATGAAGAAAATCTCTAGTCAGCTGGGGCGTTAGTGTTCCCTGTGCATGATATGGCCGGGGAGCCACTTCCTGAGCAGCACCAGTTGATGATCATAACCACTGTATCATCATGGGGTAGGGTGCAGTTGTTCTCCAACTGCCAATGCACTCAAATAATAGGCTCACACTGTGAGTTAATGACAGTTTCAAAGGCATATCACCACCTGTGTGGCAGGAAAGGAAGTCCCTTAGGAATTTTGCCCTTTTGCAGAAGAGGCCTAGCCAGTAGTAGCAGACTTCTGTATTTTAACAGAATAGTTGCTAATGATTAGAAAACTTTGGAAGCGTGATTTATTAAAATATCACACTGTATATGTAAAATATGGTTTGCATCATCACTTTCCCTTCTCCTTTTTAATTGCTGAGTAAAAGAAGCATCTTTATAAATACATAATATGTGGCAGTTGTTTTATGTCTGATGAACTTGAAATTTGAATTCTATTTAGGTCCACCTGATCACAGATTGTATTCAGTTCCCTGAATGAATAAACGAGAACCATTAGGTAGTTTTGTATGAGGATAGATGTTATTTAAACAGACTGTAGTTTTTGGTTTTTGATTTTTTTGTGTGACGGAGTTTTGCCCTGTCATCTGGGCTAGGGTGCCATGGTGTCACCCTATTTCACAGCAACCTCAAAGTCCTGGGCTCATGCAAACCTTCTGCCTCAGCCTCCCAAGTACCTGGGATTGCAGGTGCATGCCACGATGCCTGGCTAAATTTTCTATTTTTAGTAGAGGCAGGGTCTCACTCTCACTCAGGCTAGTGTCAAACTCATCAGCTCAAGTGATCCTCCTGCCTTCACCTCCCAGAGTGCTAGGATTACAGGTGTGAGCCACCATACCCGGCCTAGAAGTTTTAATCTTCACCTATCTTAGAGACTTGTATTTCAGAAAAACTTAAAAATGGTGGAAAATTCTAGTTTCTGTTGGAAATGAAAGCCAATCTTGAAACTGTTCTCTGAAGGAAATCTCCTCTAAATATTGCATCTGGCATTTTAGGCAGTACCATAACCTTTATTGCAGTATTTTCAAGTCCACAGTGGGTCCAGCTTTTTTTTATATGCTTCCCCCTCCTTCCCCAATCCATTCCAGCTGCTCCAACCCCTGTCTTGACATTCTTGATTTGGAAACCAATTGGCCTGTCCTCACTTGGCAATCTCTTATCCTGTGGTTAAGTCTGAGGCCAAGTTCCAGCTTTCTCTCTCTCTCCCCCTTCACTTCCCCATATGAAATTCTCTTAGGAGAAATCCTGTGGTTAAGTTTAGATTTGCCTTGACTTAGAAGGGAAGTGAGATGACACTTTGGAAATGAGGAGATGTTGAACAGGGAAACGTCTGCTGGGTTCTGCTGATGCCATCGGTTTCTTATCATCGAACCAGGTGTGCCATCTGTTCCTCTCACACTTCTTTGTTGGCCACAGGTGCTGAGTGTTGCTTCTCATACTTGGGCTTATGCCTAGTGAGACTTGTTTCTGTTCCAAGGCTCTCTGTGGACTTAGTAGCATTCAGCATTGCAAGACGGTTGCGTGGGGTGTATATTGGATGTGTGGGTTTTAAAGATGTCTGCAGCTCATCTAAGTTCTTAGCACTTTTCATAGCTAGATCATTTTTGATGTACTTTCTATTCCTTTGACCTGTTGTTTCCCTTCTATCAATGGAATATTTATAAACAAGTTTATTTTAACTTATATTTTATTATTGGTTTAATTAGTATTTTCTTATTATTCAGAGGCCTTTATGAAGTTGATGTTCACCTAGAAATCTAGGTTCTGAGTACCCTGAGTGCTAGGATTGCAGGCGTGAGCCACCATGCCTGGCCCTTCTCTTCTATCCTGATGCAATAAGTACAGTTGTTTCACAGTGGTTTTGATGCTCCCAGAGGCCACAAGAGGGAATCCTAAGGTGAAACACTGAAAATCATACATTTGTGTTCGGCCTTTATTTCAGTGGTATTACTGTTATTGAATGTTTAAATGAAAGTAGATTGCAAACTCTGAAAATGATGAATAAGTGGTCTTGTTTGTTATGTACCACACTGGATTTGCTTTCAGACAAGGTCAGGTGTGTTCAGCGTGGCATGGCCATAGACATTGGGTTCACTTTCAATTCTCAGTGGTGTTTTCAACTGTTAGGAATGTGGTGATTCTTCCAGATTGATATTGAGTAGTTAACTTATTTGAAAGCATTTCCTAAGTCTTTCCTGAATTGTCCCTTATTACAATCCTTTGAGCTAGGTTTAGTTCTGTTTTCTTCATTTCATGTTACAGAGGAAAGAAGCAGTGCTTAGGAAGGTCAGGTAATTTTTCTTGGCATTGTACAGCAAATATATGTCAGGGCCATGTCAGCTCTCCATTTTCCATCTCTGGTCTGCTATACTACCCTAAGTGGAGCTGAATGCTATTTAGTCAAGGAAGCACAGGCTCTCCCAAGTTTTCTTGACAAAGGATATTTACTTTGGTAATTAAGACCTGCATGCAGTGGTATGCACCTAAGGTACCAGTTACTTAGGAGGCTGAGGCAGAAGAATTGCTTGAGGCTAGGAGTTTGAGGCTACAGTGCACTGTAATCATATCTGTGAATGGACACTGCACTCTAGCCTGGGCAACATAGTGAGACCCTGCTCTGAAAAAAATTAAAACATAGAGAGAGGCCGGGCACGGTGGCTCACGCCTGTAATCCCAGCACTCTGGGAGGCCGAGTCAGGCAGATTGCTTGAGGTCAGGAGTTCGAAACCAGCCTAAGCAAAGAGCGAGACACCGTCTCTACTATAAACAGAAAGAAATTAATTGGCCAACAAATATATATAGAAAAAATTAGCCGGGCATGGTGGCGCATGCCTGTAGTCCCAGCTACTCCGGAGGCTGGGGCAAGAGGATTGTGTGAGCCCAGGAGTTTGAGGTTGCTGTGAGCTAGGTTGACACCACGGCACTCACTCTAGCCTGGGCAACGAAGCAAGACTCTGTCTCAAAGAAAAAAAAGAGAGAGAGACATAAAAGCATATTAAAATTATACTTTTAATTTTCTCTTTAATAACTTGGTCCACAGAAAATCTTCATGAAATGTTTCTGCTTCTATTGACCCATTTCTTCCAGTATTTATATTGAAAACAAATAGCTGTTAGCAATGAAAATACATATATTCCAACTTCATTATATATGCCTTTGACAGGTAGAAGATCCCAGTGCCTCTTTGAGATGTTGCAATTGAAGTTGAAATATGAAATAACATATAAAATATGAAATGCCAAATATGAAATATCCAGGTAGTAGTTAACTCATTTAAAACATCACTTTCCTTCTCAAACATCTCTCTCACAGCCTGGGAATATGTCTTTTTTGCCAAATTTTAAATAAGTTGGTCTATTCACTTTTTTTTTTAATTAATGGATTATTTGGATATATTAATTGCACTATATGAAAATGCCAATATTTGATTGTGCTTGACCTACCAAAATGGTGGGGTTTTTTTTTTTGAGACAGAGTCTTTGTTGCCCAGGCTAGAGGGCCTTGGCATCACCCTAGCTCACAGTAACCTCAAACTCCTGGGCTCAAGTGATCATCCTGCCTCAGCCTCCCGAGTAGCTGGGACTATAGGCATGCACCACCATGCCCGCCTAATTTTTTCTATTTTTAGTTGTTTGGCTAATTTCTTTCTATTTATAGTAGAGATGGGGTCTCGCTCTTGCTCAGGCTGGTCTCAAACTCCTGAGCTCAAGCAATCCTCCTACCTCAGCCTCCCAGAGTGCTAGGATTACAGGTGTGAGCCACCACGCCCAGCCAAAAATGGTGATTTAATATGTGATATCATTGTAGGTTATAAAGCATGATAATGTAGTAAACCAGCACCACCCAATCTAAGAACATCACCAGTAACTTGGAATTAACCTGTATGTGCTTCTCCCCATCTCTGAGACTTGTTTCCCCACTTAGAGGATGATAAATAGTTATTTTGAATTTTATGTTATCATTTCCTTGCTTATTATTTATATACTTGAATAATATATTGTTTTGATTTGCTTGTTTTTGAGCTTTATAAAAATGGTGTTTGACTGTATGTAGTCATCTAGGACTTGGTTTTTTCATATTATGTTTCTAAAATTTATATTGTGGATTTAACTATAGTTCAGTTTTAGTGCTGTTGTAATAGTCTTGTGTGAATGTACAATGTATCCATTCTCTTGTTGATGGACATTTAGGTTGTTGTGAATCTTTTGCTAGTAGAAATAGTGCTGCTGCTATAAATAATTTGTATACAGTGTCTGTTTGGGTTTTTTTGATTGTTTTAATGTACTTGCATGAATTTTACTTTTTTATTTGTATAGATGAAATGTACAAGAATTGGCATAGTCTTTTATGAAATTTTCTTAAGAAAAGGAATTGACTTTAAAAGTGAGACCCTTTTACAACTTGAAATTTAGAGGATTATACAGCCTTCCTGAGACATTTTCATGCAGTCATTTATAAGATGACATAAATGTCACAGTCACGTCATCTTCACAGCTGCAATTCTGAATGAGTCTCTATAGTCAACTTTATAGGCATTAAAAAAAAATCTTTAGTTTTTCTAAAAATGGTCTCATTTTAGCATCATCATTTGCAGAGGGAAATAATCCCTTTCTAAGTTAAAAGTTTGGGCTCTGAAGACTCATTTGTGAATGCCATTTAAAATTTATTTTTAATTAAGCGTATTTAATGTTGGTGAGAGGTGCCAGACATTCAGAACTCTGGAGACTCCAGGCATCTATATATCTACAGAACAAGCCTGGCTCAGTTAGTAAAGGTACATTCTCTTTTCTGCTATCATCCTGTCTGTGTCCAGAGAGAGAAATTGCCCCTGTGAGAGGTGTCACAGACTTTGGGCCCCACTTATTGTCAGTTGTGCATCTAACCAGCAGAAGGCCCTCTGGTAACCATAGTTTGATTATGTGAGATTCAGCTTAGCACTTCTTGCCAATTCATTTTACCCGGTCTACTAAATTGCCATCAAGTGTTAATGACTTTGGGCTCCTATCAACCTGGTTTAATTCAAGCTGGGAACCCAGTGCCAAAAGCATTTTCCATTCCCCTCATTGGCCATCCCAGGAGATTCTTGCCTTTCCCTATGAGGAAGTTGGATTTAATTGGTCTTTTCCTTTTTTTTTTTTTTAATCAGTATTTTGGAGCTATAACTGGGAACAGGCAACTTCTACTTTTGGTGTTATTATTATATCAAAGAAGCAAGGGTATTAATATGAGAAAGTGGCTGACCCAAATTAGAGATCTTAGAACAAGAGAATCTCTGTGGGTTGGTTTGTGCTGGGTCTTGGGCTATTAAAATAATGTTATAATCTGGCTCTGATAAATGTACTACTAATGCCAAGCACATTCATAATTGATTAACTTGGCTGCTTCGTTGCTCAAGACCATAACAGCTAGTTTTAAACAAATGAATAAATTTCTTGACCTAATAGTAAATATCTCACTCCTGCACAGAAGGGACTACAGGTCATTAACTTTGCGTCTAGGTTTATGACTGCGTTTAAGGGATGACTTGCATCTTGAAGGTTAAAAGAAATCTGGGTCATTAAAGATGTGCCTAAGCTATCTTTCTCATCTGACTCAGGAACAGCAAGAGTAGTGAGCTAATTCTCAAGGTTTGTGAGTTCTGTTTTGAATTTAACTTTTCTAACCTATTGTGATATAGGAGATGAAGCATTAGAATGATTGTTAGGCAGACAACTGATTTGCAGGGTCTTATCTACAGCTTGGTAACTGACATTTATTTTTTAATGTTATGTGATTTATAAATCCTTGTATTTGGTACCCTAACAAATTGATCTGAGTTTCACTGACCCATCTAGAAGTTAACTTGGTTTTTATCTAGGCTGAACTTAATTCAGCTGGTTAAGACATGCCCTGCTGAAGCCATAGTGGGAATTTGGATTCCTTTATAAACCTATTGTCATCATTCTGTTCCAAAGCTATAATTACATGTGTAGTTACAGCCAGCCATCTTGTATGTCACTGTCATAAATGACTGAGTAAGGGTATAAAAGTTGTGGTATACCCACTAGTTATCCCTACTGGAAAGATCTTCCAAGCCCAGTTCTTACTGGTAGTGGGTCAGTAGTGTCATGTTTTTTTTTTTGTTTTTTTATTTATTTATTTATTTATTTATTTATTTATTTTTTTAAGGAACCACATTTTCTGCTATATGTTTTAAACTAACATTTTTCAGAAAGTACCAGTTATTTAATAGGCCCCACCTAAGCTGCATTTTATTTGCATGTTCTAGACCTAACTAAAATAAGTGAAGTGCCGGCTGGGCATGGTGGCTTAGGCCTATAATCCTGGCACTGTGGGAGGCCAAGGCGGGTGGATCACTTAAGGTCAGGAGTTCGAAACCAGCCTGAGCAAGAGCGAGACTCCGTCTCTACTAAAAAATAGAAACAAATTAATTGGCCAACTAAAAATATATAGAAAAAATTAGCTAGCCATGGTGGCGCATGCCTGTAGTCCCAGCTACTTGGGAGGTTGAGGCAGAAGGAATGGCTTGAGCCCAGGAGTTTGAGGTTGCTGTGAGCTAGGCTGATGCCATGGCACTCTAGCCTGGGCAACAGATTGAGACTCTGTCTCAAAAATAAATAAATAAAATAAGTGAAGTGCCTTTAGGCTTAAGTTACTGGATTTTTATTTCTAGAGAGTTTAATTTAAATGGTAGTATCCATAGGAGTTGTTTTTAACTTTTTGCTCAAGGCAGAATAAGGTAAATAGTTGAGACTTATCATTTGTTTCTGTCAGTTTTTTCTCCCTGGCAGCTTTGCATAGATTTGTAGTGCAGGGAGGTGGAGCTTATTAGAAATTGGAGGAGGCCGGGCACAGTGGCTCACGCCTGTAATCCTAGCACTCTGGGAGGCCAAGGCGGGCAGATTGCTTGAGGTCAGGAGTTCGAAACCATTCTGAGCAAGAGCGAGACACCATCTCTACTATAAATAGAAATAAATTAATTTGCCAACTAATATATATATATAGAAAAAATTAGCCAGGCATGATGGCGCATACCTGTAGTCCCAACTACCTGGGAGGCTGAGGCAGTAGGATTGCTTGAGCCCAGGAGTTTGAGGTTGCTGTGAGCTAAGCTGATGCTACGGCACTCACTCTAGCCTGGGCAACAAAGCGAGACTCTGTAAGCAAATGCCAAAAAAAAAAAAAAAAAAAAAAAAAAGAAATTGTAGGAGAAGGAGATTTGTAGGTCTCTTTCCCCATTGTCTTGAGATGGTATAGATTAAGTATGACTATGACAGATAAGTTGCTTGATGCAGAGGATAAAGCCTTGATTTGTAGAGGTGGTTTCTAGAGAAGATGATTAACATTGGTATCTGAATGTACTGTAGCAATAAGGTAAGAGTCATCTCTCCGCCTGCCAGGAAAAAAATTCATGGTTATCAAGCTTTGGTTTGTGTTTCCTTGTCTTTCGCAGGTGAGTGTGGTGCAAGATTCCGTCAACATTTCTGGCCAGAATACTATGAATATGGTGAAAGTTCCTGAGTGCCGGTTGGCAGATGAGTTAGGAGGACTCTGGGAGAATTCTCGGTTCACAGACTGCTGCTTATGTGTTGCTGGCCAGGAATTCCAGGCTCACAAAGCTATCTTAGCAGGTTGGTATTTATTCCTGAGGAGCTTGCTTTGTAGTTTTGTTGAAACAAGGAAAAACAGCGGCTGCATAATCACCTTTTGAACAATTTCAACTTCTTGAACTCAGCTGCAAAAAATACCCTATAACTAAATATATTTTTATATTGCAGTGACATTAGTGCACATAACCAAAAAAGCTGCTCGCCATAAAAATAATATTTCTGTTTTTCCTCTCTGTAGTGGGCTTAGGCCATCATCTTAAAGGAATGGACGATGATGTACAAAGGTATTGAATGCCTTTATCCCTATAGGGCACATGTCAGAGCACTGGTTAAGAGCAGGTGTCAGTCCCTAGACAAGGGCCTAGGATGTAAAGGAGAGGATTCTGGACTCAGGACTAAATACCACCTAGCTAACTCCCCAGCCCTGAAGAGCTTAGCCTCTGTAATATAAACACACCAAAGAATGAAACTGTTGCCCTGACATGAAGGATCAAGTCTCGCTCTGATGCGTCCTTGGTCTTTAAGATCAGAGAGAATTGACATTGAGGACAAACTGATGAAGGAGGACTGACTTCACCACACAGGAAAGGGTAGCAGTCAGCCACAAACTTCTCTTCACACCATAAGACCTAAGGAAAGAGTGCATGAAACTCCAGACAACACACTTCTAACCGAGACCCTGACTGACTAGCATTCTAAAATACACATGTGGTAAAACCTCAATCTTCCATAGTTCTAACCATTTTCCTGTTCCTCTCTCAATTAGGTGTTTTTTCCTCTCTCAATTAGGTGTTACTGGGTAATGCTCAAGGAAGTCATTAACTCTTAGGTTAGTGTCGCCACACTTAGCTAGGCCCTCAACACTGCCAATCAATCTTTCCAAAGATGTATATAGTCAGCTCCCTTTCTTTTTCTCCACAATAGCTATTTGAAACCTTAACCACTCCTCTCTAACCTCCAACTCCTAAAAGATGACCTTGCCTACTTCTCTAGGAGAAAACTGAGGCCCTTTTGTCGGAATTCCCTCAACTCCTGCTCTCATGTCACATGCATTCTCTGGGGAGGAGATATTATTCCTCTTGGACAAAGCAGACGGTTTTTCCTACATCTGCTCTGTTTTATATCCCATCCTGCCTTCTCATAAATCTTAGTCTACCATTTCTACCCTTGCTGTATGGTATCTTTACCATCTCTGTTTCTCTTATTGTCTCTTCACCCTTAGTCTGTTATTCTCTCTCTCTCTTTTCAAGTTAGCACATTCACTGTCTGCATCTTTCCTCCTACTTATCCTCAGATCACCTCCATGCTACAAAGGCAATTTCCCAAAGTTACATGATCTGTTAGTTCCTAAATTCAAGAGACTCTTTTAGTTCGTATACTGTTTAACTCTTTTGTCCTGGTTTTCTCCTGGTTTTCTGGCTGCTTCTAACTGTGGCCTGCCTCCCTCTTCTTCACCCATCCCTTTAAACATTGGTGAGCTCTAATGGCCTGTTTCAATTCTGTTTTCACTCTCCTATTCTCTCTGAGTGGTTTTACTTATTCTCATTGCATCAGCTGCTGTCTATCTACTGATGACCCCCTGGACATATCTGCTGCTTTGGACCCTCACCCCTTTTCTTAAAAGCACCAGTCCCTTAGCCTTTAATTGCTGTAACATACTTATTTAGTACCTCATAGTCTATAATCCATCTGAGATAAGAACAATGAGAATTAATATTCTTTTGCTATAGATTAAGAGATCGAGATTCAGAGGTTCAGTGATTTGCCCAAGATTATGTGGTTAGAAAATGGCAGACCTAAAATTAGTCCTTTCTGACAGAAACCATAGGCCAAGAGTTCCAGTTCTCTGTTAACTCAGAGCCCTAGTACATAGGCTATCTGTTCTGTCACTCCTAGATAGTGGTTGGTAGTCTCAGCTCTGATCATAACCCTTAATATATTCAACAACATGAAGAAATTTAAGTTCTTAGCCATTTTATTAGTTTTCCTAGTTGAAATTGTTTACTTTTCATGGTGTTCATTGGACTAGAATAGGCTTAGGTTACAGCACTGTTCCCTAATAAGAGAAATTAAATACTGAGAAAGAAGATTTTATCAGGTAAGGTGCCTTGAAGGGGCCATAAATCATAAAAATACCTTAAGATTTTTTTTCCTGCCTCGTTGGGGCAATACCATCTTCATTAAGAATGCATAGCTTGGCCAGGCGCGGTGGCTCACGCCTGTAATCCTAGCACTCTGGGAGGCCGAGGCAGGCAGATCGCTCAAGGTCAGGAGTTCGAAACCACCCTGAGCAAGAGTGAGACCCCACATCTACTATAAATAGAAACAAATTAATTGGCCAACTAATATATATAGAAAAAAATTAGCCGGGCATGGTGGTGCATGCCTGTAGTCCCAGCTACTCAGGAGGCTGAGGCAGGAGGATTGCTTGAGCCCAGGAGGTTGAGGTTGCTGTGAGTGAGGCTGACGCCAGGGCACTCATTCTAGCCTGGGCAACAAAGCAAGACTCTGTCTCAAAAAAAAAAAAGAATGCATAGCTTGGAAGGACAGACAACCTGCCATAAATGAGCATGCACCTTATCTAGTTAGTGGATGCCATCATGCCCAGTTCTTGACCTTCTTGCTGTGTGGTCCCCAGAGGTGGAGAAAGCATGGGGTCATTGTTCCAGGCAAAACCCCCCAGGTATTAGGACACCCTGTTTGACCATGAAGGACCTTCTATTTGAATCCCAGATCTATACAGAGACTATATTAATAGTATTGTCATCCAACATAGATTACTTGAGTAATTCCCTTAAAGTATAAATAGTTAGAATAGAGTTAAAAAGAAATTATTTTGAAAGTAGTGGTTTCTTTTTTTCCTTCATGTATTATAATTCCTCATTATAATAGGTAAAGAAAGGAATTTTATAATTCTGGTATAATTTGAGGCTAAGGCCCCTTTGTGTAGCAGGAAAGAATATGATCTCTTCATCATAACTCGAAGAACTAAGAGATTTCAATGTGATAACCTTTTCTGTTTGTCCCCCTTTCACTTTGTAGCTCGTTCTCCAGTTTTTAGTGCCATGTTTGAACATGAAATGGAGGAGAGCAAAAAGGTATGTAACAGGATAAAGACATGGCTTTTTAGCCAGGTGAATAGAGTCAGATGATTTCACAGTTTGGCCACAGATTTATTTTCCTAGTTATTTTTTTCGTACTGTGTCGTTAAAATAGAGTACAGGTCCCTGAACAGACACATTCTGAGAACAGAAAGAGGTGGTCTGGAAATATTCTAGATAAACTGGACTCACTTATTCCCCAGGCAGATCATCCAAATAGTTTTGGGAGACAGTGTTTAGACATGTGTTTCTACACAGAAAACTCAGGAAAAGAAAGGTGAAAAATCAAAGATATAGTTGTTTTGCTGCTGTGTTTGAGAAAACAAAGATAGAACATATGATGGGAGAAAAGTCTATTATAAGGCAAAGAGAAATTTTTCATTCATGTTTGATTTTAAATGTTATAAGCCTCTATTTTCACCAGAGCTTAAAATTATAAAAATAGTTTAGGAGTTTTTTTCTGTTGGAAGGTTTCTTATTTTCAGTTTTTTTGGCTTAGAATCGAGTTGAAATCAATGATGTGGAGCCTGAAGTTTTTAAGGAAATGATGTGCTTCATTTACACGGGGAAGGCTCCAAACCTCGACAAAATGGCTGATGATTTGCTGGCAGCTGCTGACAAGGTGAGATAAGAATAGAAAAGTAATCAGAAGTCTAGGAGTTATTGTGACCTCTTGAGTTAGTCCTGGTTTATACATACTGTTCCAGCACAATGGTTCATAGCACCCTTTTTATTCTCAAAAGCGTCCTGCTTTGAATAGTAAACTACATATGCTTACCATAAGTACGGAAAAAAGGATGAGTTTGATATTTACCTCTCTTCTTTTCCCCGTCTCAACTTTAACCACAGGGATAGTAAAAACTCAGGTAAGACTAGTGTTTGGATTGTGCTTTATAATTTGCAAAATGTTTGAGTTTATTAACTTATTAAACTTTGTCAGTAAGAGAATACAGTCAGCCCTCTGTATCCACGTGGATTCAGCCAACCTTGGATCAAAAATATTTGAGAAAAAAGAAACAAATAACAATACAACAATAAAAAATAATATGAATAAAAAACCAATATAGGCCGGGCGCGGTGGCTCAAGCCTGTAATCCTAGCACTCTGGGAGGCCGAGGCGGGCGGATTGTTCGAGGTTAGGAGTTCGAAACCAGCCTGAGCAAGAGCAAGACCCCGTCTCTACTATAAATAGAAAGAAATTAATTGGCCAACTAATATATATATATATATATAAAATTAGCTGGGCATGGTGGCACATGCCTGTAGTCCCAGCTACTCGGGAGGCTGAGGCAGAAGGATTGCTTGAGCCCAGAGTTTGAGGTTGCTGTGAGCTAGGCTGACGCCACGGCACTCACTCTAGCCTGGGCAACAAAGTGAGACTCTGTCTCAAAAAAAAAAAAAAAAAAATATAGTATAACAACTACATAGCATTTACATTGTATTAGGTATTATAGATAATCTACGGATGATGTAAAGTATGTCAATTATATGTAAATACTACACCATTTTATATAAGGAACTAGAGCATCTAGATTTTGGTATTTGTGGGAGCTCTGGAACCAATCCCCCAAGGATACTGAAGGATGACTGTAATCTTTTACCTAATGTCCTGTGTAATCTTTTACCTAATGTCCTGGTTAGCATTTACAACTTTTACCCAAGTAGTTTTTGAAATACAGTGTTTCTTCAAAATTATAAGATGATTAATAACTCTTTGGGTGCTACTGCAGTAAATATATACTTTGTAAGACACATTTGTATTTGAGAGATATTAAAGTACGGAAATAAAAATGTGGATCTTAGAATCAAAGAAATGTGGTGATTACCTAAAACAACAGGTCAGTAATTCTCCATATTAGGTGAAATATTATCAGATATTAGGTTGAGGGGTACAAGTTGTGAAACACTGTTTAAACAAGTCAGAGATTTGCTGTTTGCTGCAAAATTTCTGACTGTAGCATGTTAATGTGCACTGTGAGTTTTCTAAAGGGGAATATGATGGGTAGCATCTCTCTAATTTAGCTAATCCTGGAATCATTTTTTTCAAGGATCACCTAGAGGATTAGTGGTCCTCAAAACACCCTCCATTGTGTAGATGCCTCAAGAGAGAACTTAGTGGCCTGCCCTCCCAGGCCCTGTGGTCTAGGGAAACACCACCTACAGGGGGAGGGATGAAAGGATTGGTATTTACCCAGGAAAGCTTTTCTTGTTTTGGGGGGCAGAAGCGATTGGTGTGAGGGTGTTAAAAAGGCTTAAATCCTTGCCAGCAATAGACCCTGTGAGAAAGTTCTCTGCTGAAAGTGCCTTCTTCCTGCCAAGATGCTGCAACATTCATCTGAGGGAAAAGCAGACTCTGGCTTAGAGGCACCAAAGCCTTCCCATGATCTTCTCCTGGGGATAGTCTCCTTCCACTTGCCTTTTGCCTGAGGACAATGCCTATGTTTATAGTGGAGGTTTTATCTTTATTGGTCAGCTTTTTGGAGTATTTGTAGAGGATGGGGCATGTAAGCCCAATTAATGCTACTGATGAAGAAGATTGGAATAATAACTCTATCCTTCTTATCACCTTTCAAGGCCTTATTAGTACAATTAAGCAATGTGAAAATCCCATGCCCTTCTAGTCCACCTCAATTCTGACCAAGGGAAGCTTGCTTTTAATGGAGAGAGTAAGAAATCTTCACTGCAAGCTCTGGCAAAGTATAAGACATAGCCTAATGCCTGCCTTTTATAAAGTTAATATGATTCTGCCTGACCTGCTCCCTTATTTTCAATGAAGTGGTCACTTATGCTTATACACATCAGGTATTAATCCCCCTCCTCTTCTAGATCCCAGAAGGATAAGTAGTAGTATTGCAAGGCCCACCTTTAGACAGAAACACTCAGACTCAGAGTTGTACATTCATAGAGCCAAGGTTAAACTTCTGTGTCCCTGGGTTTTCATTCTGGCTCCTCAGCCCGTGAACCTACTGCCAACTGACTGGGAGTGCACGGGTCATGGGATGATCATCCTGAATCACCATGCCAAGGATGGAGTTTTCAGAACATCTTAAGTTTTTAACAGATAAAGGTGTTGAATCACAGCAGTGCTTTAAGTTTACGAATGAGAACTAACTGAAGGGTACATTTTCAAATTCCATTCAAACATTCCTATTAGACAGTCTTTGCTCCACGCCTATTTGAAAACATTTTTACCTTTACACCTCATTGTGAGTTTTAGGAAAACAGAATAAGATTTCTTTCATGGAAGGATCTAAACACCTAGAATTTACCCAAGAGGCTGAAACAGCTTCTTCTGAGCTTTTCCAGTCTCCTGGGGACATGTGTAATTAGACCAAAAACAAAACAAAACACGTTGGCCAGGCCTGGGAGACAAAATTTCAATCTCTCGAGTAAGTACTGCCATTAGGCAGGTTTTTCAGAAACATAATTAAGAAAAAAAACTTTGTCCCCAGGGGACAAGAATGGCTACTTTTGTCTAATTATGGAGTGGGGATCAGGGCTATTCACAGTAAAAGTCCTTTTAAAAGAATGTATTGAGCAAGGATAAGAGGAATAGTGTGGGCAGCACTGTATAAAGACTGAACATTCACTCAACCTTTTCCAGCCTTTTAAAACAAAAGTGGCAACCTCATTTCTTGCTTGTCTATTGTCATTCCTGCTTTCTGTTGAAACTGTTTTCCAGTTACTTAAATGTAAAAAATTAAAGCTGCACCAAAACCAATAAAAGTCTCTTTTTGCTGCAGGAGATCACAGTGCCAGCAGATATGCCTCCTCACCCAGAATTCATAACATTGAAATTGTCCTAGTTTGATTGCCATGATTCAGCCTGGAGGGGCCTTGTGTCATTGAGTTCTGGGGCCCTCAAGATAAGGCCTATAGGGAGACTGTGCATAGCCTCAAAGCAAACTGTTCTCCTGTGAACTGATTAAAGACATTTTATTTTGTGCCTCCTATTTCCTTCCTCTTTCTTATCCCTGAAGTTCCTTAGTCAGTTCATAATCTCATATTAGAGAGCAAGTAGTGGAGTTGCAGCAAAACCAATCAGCTAGATCAAATGTGCCCAGCATTAACCTAGGCCTTCTATTTCAAGAACACTTATGCCCTTTACTTAGAAAATAGAGGTTTTTAAAGTGAAATTGGATTCAGGGTCTCTGCTGCTTTGTCTTTTTACCCCAAGAATCTTAACCTCAACCCCAATAAAACAGGACTCCATTTATCCTTTTCTATTTAAAAGGAGACCTTGGGTTGACTCTCATTCAGGAACTACTAGTGGCAGAGATGTTGGTGAAAGTCACCACAGGGCTCCTTTTCACAGCCTGATGGGCCAGTTAGGATATCCTGCTGGGCTAGTGACAATGGTTAAGTAGAAAGGACTGTGCTTCACTCTAGTCTGGCTCTAAATAAAAGGATTGCAGAAATTTTAAATGTAGTCTTATTGACTTGAAGCAGTCTAATGCCTCATTGTAAGGGTTGGTTGGTAATGGTTTAAGAAATACTTTAATCACAGTCAGGAGGTAGAGTAAACTTTAGGATGTAGGTCTGCTCTGTAATTGCCATTTTTCTAATAGGTAGCCTGTAGAACTTGAATGGCAGCTCCCCAGGTTGTTTTAGCTGTCTTCATTTCAAGCTTAAATATCTAACCTTCAGAGTATGGTTATGTTTTATAATTGCAGTAGTAGCTTTTTATGGTCTGTGCAGTTCTGTTCAGGTAATGCAGTTACATGATGGTACAGCTAAAGAAAACAGCTTCAGTAGTGCTCTGCCCAGAGCCCTTGCTCTCTGACTACAGCAGTGCTTGTGTTTTACAGTACGCCCTGGAGCGTTTAAAGGTCATGTGTGAGGATGCCCTCTGCAGTAACCTGTCCGTGGAGAACGCCGCAGAGATTCTCATCCTGGCTGACCTCCACAGTGCAGATCAGCTGAAAACTCAGGCGGTGGATTTCATCAACTAGTGAGTTGGCATCTTCAAAGTTCTTCTTTCAGAACAGTTGGATAGCTAAAGAAATGAGAAAGGCTTTGAATTAGTAAGTAAAACAGACAAAGTAGCTTCATTAACCTTTGGATAGTAAGTATAGAGTTTTATCTTTTCCTTCACTTGACAGTATGGAAAATGGTTTTGCTTTCATAAGTTGAATACTGTTGTGAGTAAAATGTTTTACTTCCTTATAGTGATCAGGACTGATGAAAATGATAACTTGCTGGCCTAAAAAAGCTGTGTGCTTTTGGTATCATCTTTAGTTCACACTCAGTGACTTAATAAAAGACATAAAGATTTCTAGGAGAATAGAAGTTTTTTTTATGAGTTAGTAAAATGTATCTAATGTTCAATTGTGGAATTGGAGAAAGAGAAGGAATAATCAATTGCTGTGGTTGTTCGGTACTGTTTTGAGAAAGAAACATTCATTCCGCTGGGTCTGTTCCTTCATCTTAAGTGACAGATAACCTGGCCATATTACCTGAAATAATTAACCTGAAATAATTTGAAGGGGCCAAAATGAGTTGTGACTACAACCCCATCTTCTTAGTAGGGCATGTTCTTTTCCCTTTCCTAGTGGGGAACAAAAGTTGGAAAAAAAACCAAGGAAACAAAGCCCTCACAGCAGCAGTTCTGAGATGAGTGTCTACCTAAGACACTCATGTCTACCTAAGACATTCCAGGTAGATGAGTGAACAATATTCAATGCAGAAAATGCCCAAGGACAGGAAATATTGTCCTTTAGGTCTAGTTGTAAGATTGTTTCTAAGGAGTTACTGACTGAAGCAGAATGGGGAGGGACAAGACCAGTAAAATGTTAGTTCTATTGAGTGTTGACTATGTGCTGACACTTGCTTGGTGCTTTTTAGATATTAACTCAACCATTGAAGAAGTATAGTTATTATCTCCTCTTTTTATTTATTTATTTATTTTATTTTAGCGTATTATGGGGGTACAAGTGTTAAGGTTACTTATATTGCCCATGCCCCTTTCCCCCCTCGATATATCCTCTTTTTTGATAATCAGATAGGCCACAGGCTATGATCAGTTTTGTGGTGACTAGACTGGTAAATGGCAAAGCCAGGTGGAGGCTCAGAGCTCTCTGACTGAGGGAACCCTTGCACCTTCTCTTTACTGGCCTCAACTGTGAATACAAAGAACATTGACAACATTGACAACGTTGAGATGAGCTGGGGGAACGTTCCATTTTTTTTTTATTTTTGGGAGTATAGTGGCTCAAAGTCCTGGTTTTCTGAATCAAAACAGTCACAACTCAGTCATCAGTCTGCACATTGCCTAACAAGCAAATTCTCATGCATATTAGGGGTTCTGTTTGAGTGTTGCTTGCATTGATACCCTTTACACCAAACACTAGAAAATTAGGCTATCTGGGTAGCTGTTCAGTCCATCTTTTGCTCACTCCCTTGGTAACCCCTCTCTCTCCACATTTCTCCTAGTCATGCTTCGGATGTCTTGGAGACCTCTGGGTGGAAGTCAATGGTGGTGTCACATCCCCACTTGGTGGCTGAGGCATACCGCTCACTGGCTTCAGCACAGTGCCCTTTCCTGGGACCCCCACGCAAACGCCTGAAGCAATCCTAAGATCCTGCCTGTTGTAAGACTTCGTTTATTTTCCAGAAGCAGCAGCCACTGTTGCTGCCACTGACCACCAGGTAGACAGCGCAATCTGTGGAGCTTTTACTCTGTTGCGAGGGGAAAAGACTGCTTGTGGCCCCAGACTTTTAAAACAGCACTAAATAACTTGGGGGAAACGGGGGTGGGGGGAGGGAAGGACCCAGGACTGGGGCTGTTCAACCTAATGAAAATCCTGTCGGTGCGTCACTGTGTTCCCTTTGGCCTGGCCGAGTTTGGTACTGTCGGGATTCAGTTTAGGCGCTGGCCCCGAGGACATCCAGCTGGTGGTACTTCGGAGAAACCTGTCTGCATCTGACTGAGCAGAACAAATCGTCAGGTGCCTGGAGCAAAAAGAAAAAAAAAAAAGAAAGGACATTGAGTTTTAAGAGAGGGGAAAAGGAAAGAAGAAAGGATTTTTGCAGAATTTCTCAAAAATCAGTTTGTGGATTCCAGTGGTATTTATATTGAAAAAAACAAATTGTAGTCCTTCCAACTGTGCTAAAACTTGGATATTTGTGAAAACTTCTCACCACCATACAAGTATCAGAAGAGCTCTCATTGTGTTAGCACTTATTGTTTGCAAGAACAGAATACATCCTTTTATGAAAAATGACAAATGAAAGTGAAAGGGGAAGGAGGTTATTTGATCTGGAAGATGAGTGTTTTGATGTGGTGGCTTTTGCAAAGATCTTTATGGTGTTGAAAACTGGAAAAAATAATTCATCCAGAATTCATACTGTCTTGACAAGAACCATGGTTCTCTGTTTTTAGATATTGTGGAAAATGTTTTTTGGCATTTTTCTCTGATTTTATTTCTCCTCCTGCCCCCCCTCCCTTTTTCTAAAAAACGAAAACAAAAAAACATACAAAACAAAAACAGAACAAGAAGAGAAGAGAAAAGAAAATTTTATTATTAATGCTGTGTGAAAAAAATCCCAGCCCAGATTGCTCAGCTGTTCATACCTGACTTGCCGCCTGCATAGGAGCCAGTTCTGTTCCTTCTGATTAGCCCCTCTTCCTACAGGGGAGAACTTCCAAATGTTAATTTTTTCTTTTTGAAAATATAAATAATTACTATTTTGTACTGTGTGGTATCTCTGGTCTTTTGTTTTACTCACCTGGCTTATCTCTTGTGTCAGAGTTCCTTAGGGGATTTTGAAGTCCTTCAGCTTGCAGAGATTATGTTTGAAATGTCCAGTAAGTAGTAGGGATTTATTGAGCCTCCGTAACCTCGAGCTTCTTTTGTAACCTATCAGCATCTGCTAGTCTATGTCCTTCTTGAATATCTCACAGTCATGTCCTGCTGAGGGATCAAACCCCTACCTCTACCAAGGCAAGTAATGGTAGTGGGCTTTTTCTGCACCCTGTATGTTTAAAGACCTAATCCCCATCTCCCTTCTCCTAACTAAATATAAAAAAATGCAGGAGACATGAATTTGGAGCTTTAAATAAAGGGAAATTGTTGTCTCTAACTGGTTGGTTCTGTCATTGACTTGATATGTTTCCAGAAAAGTTAATGTCTGAACTCCAGTGAGCTCTTAAGAATGCTCTGGGGCTCCCTATCTGCCTTTTTCATAGCCAGTAGAACAATGGGGTACATTGAAGAATGCACTGGCCATTTGGCTGAGATGTGTCTTATTTGACCTTAGATGGAGCTCAAATTTCACCTTCCATTTGCCTTCAATGGACTTTAGCCTTTGCAAAATTTGCAATTTTCATTTATCTTACCACCTCTAGAATGGATAGATACCATCTGTTATTAACATAATCAAAGGCAGGATTTGTTTATTAGAAACCACTCCATTGTAATTCCTGGTTTCCTAAGTGTCACCTGTATGAGGAAATGCCCAGTTCTCCATGTGCTGGCTGCTGTCCTGAGCCTCCTTGATCCTGGCGTTCCAGATCAGCCACAGATCCAGGGATCGGGGCAGACACAAGTCTTCTCTACCCATATTGTCTTTCAGGTAACTGCATTTACTCTGTAATTCTCAGTTTTCAGTTAACTTTCATACATAGTATTTCATTTGAACTTCCCAACAACTTGATGAGTTTGGTAGAACAGGTGAGAGATAGCATCTTCCCATTTCATAGATGAGAGAGGTTGAAATCCAGAGAAAAGACATGCTTGAGATCATGCAACTATTGAGTGCCAGATTTTCTAATGTATCCTACAGATTATGAAATTAACTTGAGGGAAGTTCCATTTCTGAAATGTTTAGGTATAAAACTGGAGCAAACCTACCTTCCTGTGGGAATAGTAAGAACAAAGCTCTGGAAAGGTGCCTCTGCTGGCCTGTTCTTCAGATGTTCCAGGAGGACAAACGAGACTAAAGATTTGCTTTCCTCTTCATTCACAGAAAGCTGTGGGTTGGGGGCTGCGTGGGTTCAGGGAATATGCCCTGAGGAGGGTAGCAGTCCTGGCACCTAGCTCCTAGCAGGATGAAGGTCTCTTCTGGGATTTTCAATATTTATGGAATTTCCAACATGGGCTTTCCTATGGGCACAAAACCATTAGAGTTTCAGGTTCAGGTGAAGCTGCTCGCTGCTTCTCCTATCATTATTTTATTATTTCTGGACATGTTTGTTTTTGTTTTAAATGATACAGTTGAAGCCATCTGGTTATGACAACATCAGAGCCCCAGCATACTGTTCATAAACCTCCCACTGCCACAACCCCCTCCCTAAGCTCCCCCACATCTGAAATTTAATTCAAGTTAACTCCACAATCTGGGGCATGTGCTGTCACTGCAGAGATGTCCGTGCCAGTGGAACAGTTGGAGATTTCAATTCCACAAGGATATGGCTTATTTATCAAAACAATATTTCAGGCAAGTAGTTTCACAGAACCTTTGGGGGGTTGCAGTTTCGATCCAAATGGATTATCTGGCATCATCCCTGTCTCCCCTTGTCCCCTGTTGTCAGTCCTCCTATACATCTGGCCACCCATAGAAAATTTTCCCCATCCCTATGTAAAGATTAAACTTCTGCATTGTTATTAGGCTTCTCAAACATGTTTATGAGTTTTTAAAAATGTGGATAAGATATGGCCCTCTTTTCACTGCTAAGGAAGGCTGCTGGCCTTTTAAATCTTAAAGAGCCCCCCCCCCTGTTTTTTAAATTACAGCCAGGAACATCAAGATCTTTCTTAGGCCAGAAGATCTCTGGCTTGACCACAGCTCTGCACATTCATTTGTAAATCTGGTTTAAATCTATTGTGGGATCTCCATATTGTATGAGTCTGTGCAGATGAAAGGAAACAGCTTGTATGTTTATGAGCAGAACAACAAACAGAGAGGGAGTTGAGCTGCACTTTGAAACTGACTGTTGCTTTGTTCTGGCTCTTCAACTCCTATAAAAGAACATCTAAATCCCCCCAACATGACTGTATTAGATCCTTTGGTTTCTCTTTGTCAAAGACAAATTCTTGGCTGGAGCCCAACCTTATTTTCCACAACTAATTATCTTTTTAATCAGTCTGAGCCCTGTGTGTTTCCTTTATCTCATGACTTTTCACTGAACTCTGCCCTACATCATTTAGATTCATTTCTAATGGTTTGCTGACTAATCTAACATTCAGGTGAGTATCACTGGGCTGCTTTTTATGTACATATATGCACAAGGCAGGTGTGTTTTCCCCCTTTTAATTTCAGAGGTGACCATGCCATGTTGGGGCCTTTGACCCGATAGGTGGACACCTCATGGAAACAGTTAGCAAGAAAGCCAGTATAGGATGATCAGTATTTGGGATAATGAGCTGGGAGGACCAGAAGCTTTGACCTCCAGATGAGAGCAGAAACTTGAATGTTGTTGACTGATGGGATCTTTATCCCGCTAAGCCATTAGCAAGATGATTGCTCCCCCTCTGTAAATCCTATAATGCTGGAGTAGAAAGTGGCATCTGGAATACTGTTTGGTTCTGATTTTTGCAGCTCTAGGAAAAAAAAGAATTTTAGACCTGAGGGAATTCAGTACAAGCAACAGAAATGATTAAGGAGTTGAAAGGGGATCAACTTCAGGGGGAAAATGTTATGAAGATAAAATATTAGTAACTCAAGTATGGGAATGTAGCACCAGTACCTGCAGTTTACAGATCTCACAGGAGTTCTGAACATTAGCTGGCTTATCTTGTACAACTCCTGTTCATTCCAATTGTGTATCTTGGGAAGGTGGTAATATAACTTCCTCAAGGTCACTCAGCCTGGCTCTGCGCCAAGAAACAACAGAAGGCCAAGGAATAAGCTTTGGGGCTTGGACCCAAAGACCAAAGAGAAGGAACAATGCCTGGTAAAAAAGTGGACACATCATGCGAAATGCTCACTTGAAATGGGGAGAGCTTTGGCCCCTGCAAGACCCTTAAAGGTGAGCTCTTGAGAAACTGAAAGAAAAAAGAAGGGACTCCACATATTTCACCTTCTTTTCATGTCTGAGAAGACAGACATCCAGGGATGTGAAGTGTTATGCTAAAGGTCACAGAGATTGAATTCCAGACCACTGGTTGAGCAAACAATTGCTTAGCACCTAGGAAACCCCAGACATTGTGCTAGGCTAGGCCTAGGGTGGAGGGTAGGGTTTTTGCTCTACTGGCTCAGTCTAATGGAGAAGGCAGAAACAAATAAACAGGCCATAGAATTGAGGACTGAAAAGAAGCTACTGAATTTAGCAGTAAGGAGGTCAGGAGTTACCTTAGAGCTGTTTCAGTCAAATGGTGGAGGTAGAAGCCAAGACTGATGAGGAGGTAAGCAAACACAGATTGAGTACTTTGCAGAAGTTAGGCAGAGAGAGAGAAGGGGACTCTCTTCCACTCTTAAGAACTTACATTTCAATCTCATCAACACATTTGTTTTTGTCTAGAAGTAATGGTGTACAGGTTTTTCCATAAAGTATGGACACTGTAGTGACTGATATTCATAATGAAAGTCATGTTTATAGAAAAATTATAGCTTTCAGTTGAGAAAGAAAACGAGTACCCTCAATCCTTACACAGTTTTGAGAATGATTTCCTACAGACATGTTTCTAGGACACTTCTTCAGCTTATCCATCTTCTAGGTGAAAGTTTGCCTCACACCTTAAAATGTTTTCATGGGCCAGTGGTTTAGTGGTGTGCTACCAAAGGTCTAATGTTCAGTTCCCAAATATGTAAGCCCCGATTGATAGCATGTGCCGGTTTTCATGGTGTAAATACTCCCGCCATGGCTGATGTCAAATTACCAAGGTGACGTTATCAAACTTGTAGGTGGGAAGAGATGCACAGCACAGCATCGCCTGTGACTCCATGTTGGAGAAACAATAGATGGAAGCAGCCTCAAGAGTATAGATATTAGTAAAATGTAAAATAATTGGGAAGAGATGAATTTTAACTACTTACTACCTTTACTAATTGTATGTTAATACAATTTCATTTTTTTTTTTTTTTTTATTCCTTTTTTTTTTCCATTTTCAGTTGGCCAATTAACTTTTTTTTTTTTTTTTTTAGTAGAGACAGGGTCTCACTCTTGCTCAGGCTGGTCTTGAACTTCTGAGCTCAAACGATCCACCCGCCTCGGCCTCCCAGAGAGCTAGGATTACAGGCGTGAGCCACCGCGCCCGGCCCAATTTCATTTTTAATATAGATGTTTAACAACCAGTTCTCAAAATTCCTGAAAATTGTACTGATTGGCTCTAGAGAGCCCGTTTGAACCATCTCCATCCAGTACAACACTGGTATGGTTTCAAATTCGTCCTTCCAACACTTGTGTGCCTCATTATTCCCTGTTATCCCATAGCACCTTAAAACACATTCATGTAGTTTAAAGGCAAATGAAATACTGGCTTTTCAGAAATCTAAAGATACATTGACATTGATACATGAACCAATAGCCATATTACATATTTTACTCTCTCTCGTTAAATTAACACATTTTTATTTCTATCTCTTAGCTTAATAGGAAGTGTGTATTTTATTGGAACACTAGTGAAAAATGGGCATCCCAACTGACAGGTTATCCAACATAATCTTCAGTAATTCCAGGGGGTTGTGGTCCCCATAGTGCATCCTTCCTGCTCCATTATTCTCAACGGAAGTTTTTTTAGAAGAGAAAGAAAAGAGCAGCTGAAAGTGGTCCGCATGCCTGCCAGTGGGTGATCCCCAAGGTCTTTCACTTCAACCAGCACTTGAGAATCTTTGCCTTGGTTTGGCTGTTTAAGAGTGAGTTTCCACATCCCTTTCAATAGTTCATTTATACCTTTGATATACAATGTGCCAAGACCGTGCTGGCTTCTAGAGTTACAACAGTGAGTAAAACTAATGCTCCCTGCCCTTGTTAGAGCTTAGAGTCTAATGGGAAGAGAGTATCCTTAATAATTCCACAAATAAACGACGTCAAGTCGTGGTAAGTGCCCTGAAGGAAAAGTGCAGGGTACCATGAGAGCCTGTCAGTGGGACTGATCTCATCTGGGGCATCCGGAAAATCTCGCCTAAGAAAGCAGCTTTTA